GTCATCCAATCTAACCAAAACCAATGTTCATCTAAGTTGCCCGCACATACCAATGTGAATCTCTAAGCTATCCACATATACCGGTGCAACTTTCGATGGCCTCATATATAGGTTGCATTTTAATTCAAACAGAATTCATAAGACATTGTCATATTATTGCCAAGATCATCATAAAATAAAGTATAGCTTTTAAATTCTATAGAAACATAAAAATTGAAAATAAATAAAAATGTAACATTGTCATCCTTATTTTTATTGACAAGTCCATTTGTTTGTGATTGCTGCATCAACCACCCACAACATCAAAAGTAGCATATATACAAATTAAAATGTTAGGGTCGCTGCAGTTGTGCAATAAGATGAAACGAATAGGTCAAATGTTTGATAGATTTTTTTCTCCCGTTGCAACGCACGGATGTTGGTATTTATTAACGCGTCACTTGTTTGAATTACTTAGCCACCTATTATAAACCTATATCCCTAACTTTACTAGGTTGTCATCCCTAGTGATGATGTCAGAGATATGTATTGATACTACATAGTATTACTACTAGAATAACACTAAGCAGTTCTTATTAATGCAAGTGACTAGAAAGAATATGTATAGATCTATGAATACAAAGTATCCGCGAGCGCACAGATAATTATACCATTGTAGCATTTTACCCGAGAGTATTCCAAGTATCGTTATTTATATTTTTAACACCGGGAAGGTCTAGCATAGATATGTATTGTTAACTTATACTATTGAAGGAGAAATAAACCATAGCCAACACTGTACTCATAACAGGAACAAGTCATAGAATAAGATATATATAAATGATAAATATTGACAGGGATAAATCACTTAGAGCACTCCTTCTATAGCATTAGTATGGTCAGGTAGAATATTAGAGTAATAATTCCTAAGTCGTTCTTAATTACAAGTCAAAGCATATATTTGATTAGTGTAATTACACCTAATAATTATGGCTAAGATCATCATTATATCTACACAAAAGGGATATTACTAAGGAAGATTAAGGGCAGAGCTCGTTCTACCTTCGTAATCGGACCCTACGTGCTCCTATATTCGGGGACTAGACTACAAAGGACTCAATAGGAGTGTCACATCCGCGATCTACCACATGACCCAGAAATAGAGTGTATCCACAGGTAAACAACGTATAAGCACCATGCTTACACAATGTCGACCACCCACCCATGGTACCTTGGAGTGAGCGCTATACGAACTTATGCATAAACACAATGATAAACTAACTATACTAGATATATAATCAAAGTAGACGATGAACATCATAATGAAGAAAACAAGATGAATATTGTTATAACACTTGTAACTATCATATAAAAATAATGGAGAAACAAGAGAGAGAGGGGTATAAGAGTTTATACCAAACCACGCTTTATACAAGAACGGGAATCCAAGCGAAGTCCTGCTTGCCTCTCTCTAGATCTATTCTAACTAGCTATGCTATGGAGGAAGAGGAGCTCTAAGGAGATTAGGGTTTCTATCTTCAAATGACTTGATGACTTATGATCTTTGATCTGATCTCTCCAGGGGGGGTTGGCGTCTGGTTATATAGTCCTGAGGGACCAACGTGAGCCCTAGGATCAAACCGACTTAAGCAACGGCCTAGATACATCCTCAAAGGCGGTGGAAAACCGACCCTCGAAGATGGCTGACAGGTGGGCCCAGGGGAGGTCGGTCGGCCCCACCTGTCAGGTGGTGGCCCTTCGCTTCGGTGACGTGGCTTCTGGATCCTTCTAGAGCCTTCCCACATAGATGCCGCGGTGGAATTACGTATTTTCCTTCAACGTTTAGGTCCTTCTTAGCGGTTTTCAGATTAAACCCTGCTGGAAACACAGATTCACCAAAACTTATGAAATTTATTAGTTTAGACCCCTAGACCTTCGTTGGTGATTATATTTATGCCATTATACATGTTTATTTGACAGTTTATAATAGTTGTTAGCTACCGTCAACAACGGGCATGTTTGCTAGTTATTAAAGATGAACCTGTTTATTTTTATGAAGCCAAATTCATACTTACTCCTTTGATAACAAATTTATATAAGATTTCTTAAATGATAAAGTTTCATCACTAACAATAATAGTGGGTAATTGGATAAGTAAAAAATATAGCCCACATATAATTTGTTAGTGAACTGGTGACGATGGAGCACAACGACCGATTGGCACTTGACACGGATAGGCCAGCGTGGGACCACATATATCCATAGATGTAAGAGCATCTCCTGCTACCTAAATCAGACTACCTAGCATCTTCAGCACTAGTACCTAAAACACACTACCTATTTCTCTATTTAGATAGTCACCAATTTTCATACTACCAATATTTCGCTTTCAACTCTAGCGGTACTACCTAAAACATGGCACCCAAATTTGTTTTAGCAGTCCATGACATGCGGGTCCCACGTGTGACGTGTCATCCTCTTCGATGTTCTTCGCGCCACAGTAGGATGCGCGTCGGGGAGGAGGGCGCAGCACCGGAGCAGGCCACCTATTTTATACTACTTATTTGGGTAGCCACCTATTTTTATTCTACTTATTTTTTATCTTTAACCCCAGCAACACTTCCTAAAACAGACTACTTGAATTCATTTGTAGAGTGAATGACATGTGGGGCCGTGATGTCATCCTCTCCCTTGTTCTCTACGCCGTGTGCCCACGTCGAGGGTGGCCGTCGTGTGCCCGTGCTGTCGTGGCGCATGCCAGCCGAGGGCAGGGAAGGTCACCCGTATGGAGGAGGCTGTATGTGGGGAGGAGCTCTGCCAGCAAGAGGGCCGCCCGTGGGGGACGAGCGTGGCCAGTGAGGGCCGCCCGCAGGGGAGGAGGACTGTCGGCGAGGGAGACCCACCGCTGCTGCGCCGGGATCTACGGGGAGGAGCTCTGCCGGCGAGAAGGTCATCCGTCGGGGTAGGAAGCCGCCGAAGAGGGCCGCGCGTGGGGGAGGAAGCCACCGAGGAGGATCACGCGCCATGGTAGGGCTCTGTAACACCCAAGGTGTTAGTAAGGTCATTAACACTAAAGCTGCAATCATTAACTTGATTATTAATGATTGGTTAAGCTAAGACTTGTGTAAGAAGGAACTAAAAAATGTGGAGGAACAAAAACAAAATTTTAATCTTGGACAAGGAGACCCTAGACCAACCAATCTCTAGCAAGTGGCAACTAAAACCCTAACTTCCAAAAATAAGATTGGTCAACAAGGAACACAAAGACTTGAATGGACTAAGGGGCACATGATGATCAACCACATTAAATAAGTTCATCTTATGAACGTATGGAAACGTCCCAATGAAGCTTTCCAACTCACTTTGGGCGTGGCCAATGATGACTTTTGTGAAGTCCTACAAATGCACCAAAGTTAAAGCCCATGTTGAAACACTCTAGTCAACACCTAACCTAGAGGATGGTTCTACACTATATGTCAACCCTAGTTCCTTCTTAACTTAAAGCAACTAGTGGCCTACTATGAGTAACTAAAACTAATGAGTACATATGATGATTGAGAATATAGAAGTCAAGCTCTTTTAAACAAGGTCAAACTCAGTTTTGATGGAAAAGGCAACTTAAATAATTAAATTATTAAGTGACCAAACATATAGAAGTAATTAAATTAGTCAACACATGATTTACCAACCTTAATCCATCACCTCAATTAAGTTTAAGGAAAGAAAAAGAATAAAGAAGCTCACATGAATGATAAATCCTATGTGCTTTAAACTAGGTTTGTTAATAAATAATATTATAATGTGTTTGACTAAAGTCAACCATGTGATTAATGGGTTCTATTTAAGTTTATAAACAACTTTTATTTAGACCTCAACCCTGAATTATGGGACGAAGGTGATTAAATAAAATCAAACTCATATTTTAAACTAAATAGCTAATTTGCCTTTTTGGAGGCAAATTAAATGGATATTTTATTAAACACTTCAAAATTCACCAAAGTATGGAATGTGGTACAAGTCATGTGCTTAGAAGTGGTGCAAAGCTTAAGTGGTGAAATGTCTTAAACAAGCTATTTTAAGCACCCCAAGTTTGAATCCGATTCAAATTTCTAGATTAACTTAGAATATTTATGTCCTGAATATGATCAACATTCATGTTGACAAGCAACGTTTTTCGAATTTTATTAAACAACACAACTTAGTCCAAAAATAAAAGTTGTAGTTTGAACTTTGAATTAGAGTTTGACCAAGTTTGACTCAGTTTGACCTCTCAAAATCACAGTCAAAACAGTATGTACTTAAACCCTAAAAACAGCTTGACATTATCAACTTTGACACTAATTACCCATTAATCCAGATCCCTAATGACCATAGTCACATGAGCAAAGTTGTAGGGCATGACGAGTAGAATATCTTTTGTGTTGGACCCCACACCAGTGTCTACACCGAGCTGTCCACAAATCTGATCCAAACTAGGTCACATGGGCACGAGACAGCTGTTCGACGAATGGCATTTCCTTTAAAAAAAGGAAATGTATTTTTGGTGAAGTTAACTAAAACAACCCTCAATTAATTCAAAAATCTGAGGGGGGGGGGGCAAACCGACCTAAAATTTTAACTCAAAAAACCCTCCATTCATTCAAAATCGCAGCGGGGCAGACCGACCCCATCCCCATCCGGCCTGTCTTTCCAAAATAGCGTGACTCCGTCCGGGTCCGGTGTGTCGGCCTTTATCTTTTGAGAGAATTATGTATTGCCACTTAAACAGATCAGTCTTTCGAATTTAATATTTAAAAATTTAAACTTTTTTATTTAATATTAAGTTAAAATTTTCTTCCCTAGATAGCAGTTCCGTCTATTTTATCTATTCATATGTTAGTCTACTATTTGGATCGTGTCAGTTTTTTTTTTTTTAGCATGACCAAGGTACCCTCTGTACTCACGCATCTGACGCGTCTCCCGTGTTCGTGAGTCCCTGACCTTCTTCCCCGAAAAGAACACCGAAGGAGGAGGAGAGGATGATGGAGCAGAGGATGTTGCGGCCGGCGGCGCCCAGCACCAGCTGCGCGTGCCCTCTGGCGGGGCGACCTCACCCGGCGGAGCCAGGCCGTGGAGCGGTCGCGGCGGCGGGGCCGACGCTCCGGCCAGCCCGCGGCGTGGCGGAGGCGGCGCGGCCCCTCCGGCCAGCCAGCAGCGTGGCAGAGGAGGCGCGGCGGCGGCTCCCGGCGCACAGGCCACAGAGCAGCCTCCCCAGGCCAGATCAGGAGATTGTGGGGGCATGCTCTTGATCCGGAATCCACGGCGATTCCCCTCCGCCTGCTATCTCCTAGTACTCACCCTCGCTCTCCTCGTCGTCTCCACCGCCGCCCCATCTCAGTACGTCTCCCCGCCTGGCCTGACCCTGCCTTCTCTCCTCCGTCCGCCTCTTCTAGTCTCTATCCATCTCATCGCGCTTACCGAACTCCGTGCGCAGGACAACGAGATCCGGCAGAAGAAAGAGGCCTGCTACACCGACGTCGAGAAGTACGTGTTAGGATGATGAGTTCTCTGCTTGTTTTCTGTTCAGTGGAACGCATCTGACGCGATGCTTCTGAGTTCTGACGGTGGTTTCTCTCTGCCATACCGCAGCGGGCTGTGGGGCTGGGTGTGCAGGTCCTCGCCGACGGAGAAGGAGAACTGCGTGCTGCGCTGCCTCTCGTCGGAGTGCTACGACCTCATATACGGCGGCGATCCAGTGAGTGGTGGCATCAGGACGTGGGGTTTCAGCAGCTGCGATATACTTGATTTACTGATTTTTTTGCTTGGCTGCCTTGTGCAGCTTGAGGAAGGGGAGTTGGACTATGTTCGAGGCCAGGAGTACAAGTACTGTATGCACAAGTAAGAATTACCAGAACATCTCGAATATGTTCGTTTGGGGTTTGGAATGTTGAATTGGGTCTGCCATGTGTTGATTGAAGGATTGCATTGTCGTTAAGGCTGTCCAGTCGTAGATTATAAGTTGGGTTGGAGTCCACGTAAGATCCCAATCATATACAATCTTAAACATAAGAATCATAAAAATGTGATACTATTGTTGTCTGGAATCATAGAATCAGGCCCTTGATCAAGATCGTAAAGCTGAAAATTTGTAAGACAGAAACATAGATATTGACAAGCATTATTGTGGGTGCATTTGTAAATGAAGGGAAATGATATTGATACTATGCCTCCCATGGTTTACTAGCTCTCTAAACATACAAATAAAATCACATGACTAGGAAGAGAATTGAAGTATTGAGAGATCAGGAATAAGTAGGAGTGATTCAGACCCAAGGTAAGGTGCTAGCTGTGACACCAGATGCTCAAACCTGTACTATTCTAAGCATTTGTGGAGAAGTATCCGTTTGTTGTTGTCTTCATGTCTTGCGATGATCTGACAAGAATATATGACTGACCAAACTGAGATGAGCGCGCTGCTAAACTGCATCAAAAAATTTCTGACCAAGCTAACTAGACAGGGCAAATCCCTCCCGTGCTAAGCCTACCCCAGCGGGACCTGCTCTTGCCTTAGAATTTGAAATTTATTATTTATTTATTTGCAGACTTTGATTATCAAAATCCCATGTTTTAGTTCACAATATATTTGTGATATTTATAATTTTCTTATTTGACAACCTGTCCATCTATTATTTCCCTGTTTGGCATCATGTATTTCTGCTACAAAGAAGGGCATTCATGTCATTTTACTAGCCACTTGACGCCGTTACTAGCCCAAATAGACGGCAGTGCTATCTAGGGAAGAAAATTTCAACTCGGTGCCAAATAAGAAAACTCAAATTTTTTAGTGCCAAATGCGGAAGATCGATTTATTTCAGTGCCAAATACATAATTCTCCCTTATCCTTTCCGCCCTACCACACCGCGCCGCCGCCATCGCCATGGCCGCAGACTTGGAGCGGGCGCTTCCTCCCACCTTGACCCCATCAGCCTGGTCGGACTCACCGTACCACAAGGTATCATCTCCAAACCATGCCTTCCTTTTTCATTTGTTCGTTTGAGTTGCGACCGGCGCAGCCGCCATCGCGGCGTCGCGAAGCTCGCACCGAGAGGTGTACGCGGTTAGATGATTAAATTTGAATTAGGTTGGGTCTAACCCTAGCAGAAATGGGTATAGATTGGGGCACTAGGGTTCCAACAGTGCCTAATCTAGGCACAGGGATCCAATCCTAGTTTGTACCTAAGAATTATACTGCATTTGTGCATGGATGAGACGGCCTACAATGCCTCTCTGCCCCTTCCATTGGTTTCCATGCCATTTATCAAGGTTGTCCATGTTCTTCACAAGCATTGATTCGAATGCCTCCACTGCACTGTCAATACACCAACATTTCAGTGCCGAGATCAGGCTGTGAAAGGCAAAAACTTCTTTCTTATGTACGAATGTACCCACTTTTCAGTCTCAAGTGCACCTAGGACAGCACAAGCTCACACTGACCATGGTCCACATCATTCAATTCTGCCTCAGCGACCTGCATCTCAGTGAAAAGAGCAAATGCCTCCCGACATTGATCTGCCTGCGTGTAGCCTGAGATCATTGCACTACAAGCAGCCTTGTGGACGTAGTAGAATGTTATAGCATATATACTTGGATATATTTTATGCCAATTTGATTTAAACTAACTCTTGCTACTGATGAACTAGATGATAACGAACGTGGTATTGGTCCTTGGCGCGTTCATCCCAGTGTTGCTTGATCTGCTCCTAATGATCTTCCTTCTTGTCACTCGGTCAGTTGAGAGGACAATGCAACTCTTCCGGCACCCATGATGGTGGCTTCAGTTGTGAACGCTGCCATCTGGCTTGTGTTTACGCTGGTCAAAGATGAATCACCTACCAACAATGAAGAAAAATCAACTGAGCTAGTGATATCTTATTCGATAGTTTTAGTGTCAAACTATCTCTACCTGCTATTGCTGTGCTTTCACTATAACAGGCGAATGAGGGTATATAATATGAACTGTACTGTATACAGTTTGTTTTCTTTTCTGCCTTGTTACTTGTGTTAATATATCTGTTTGTGCTATATTTTATTTGAATGACATGTTGTTGAGCACTTTTGTGCTTCCTTTTACTGCCTACATTTTCTATGTCTGCCGTTTTGGTACCAGCTTGGTGGAACAGTATGAACGCTGGATTGGCTTTGCAGGAATTTTGGTACTAATTAGTTTTCATGCTCTTACTATCTCACATTGAGGTACTATTTTTTTTGGGATTTCTTACTAACTATGTTCATTTGCATAACTAATAAGCATTTTGTTTTTGATTTTTCAGAAAATCAATGGTTTCTTGGATTATTTACTTATGGTTTGGAACATAATTCCAACTGGCGTGTTGAGTGGCGCAACATATATTGTCCTCTCAAAACTTACCCATCCACCAACATTTATCCTGGTAAACGTCTTTACAAAAAGATGTCATCTCATATCTTGTTGATACGGCAGAAACGGAAACAAACTTGGACTAAAATGGTTTCTTGTTCTGTTGCTTTGTAGCTTATTTGGGAGTAACTGATGGTGATGTTGAGGATGATACAAGTTTTGATGGTGGTGAGACTGAAATGCTGGCGCGTGATTTTAGGACAGGTATACAGCAAATCTTTAAAAATCTTTCTTATTTTACTATATCTGGATTTGCATGACCCTGTTTTTATGATATCCAGTCACCATTCAAGATATCCTGCAGACTACAACTGTAAGCATATCACCAGATCATCGGACACACAACATATAAGATGTCTATCAGCCTGTTCGCTTGCTCGTAAACGTTCATAAATTTCCAGCCGGGAACAGTGTTTTTTTCTCACACCAAACCAGCCAGCAGTAAATAATCCACGATATGATACGGCCTCCTGAACAGGCAGTATGTTATCTGAGATAAATACTTGTCTATCGAGCCACAACAGAAAATTCACTCTAATTTTTTCCAACAGCCCACGCACTCAGGGTGTGCCGGTGGTTTCATCACCACGGGGTCTATGCTGCGGAATTCCTCGTCAGAGGAGGAGGAGGCCAGTGCCACAGCCAGTTGCACGAATCAATTTTGTTACTTGTCAGCACAGAGCGTGCCGATTGTCCGCAGGTAGTGAGCTGTCGCATACAGTGTTTCCACATACAGCGAGCTGTTGCAAGCGGCAGTTGAACAAAAACTGCAAACATATGCATGTGCCCTTTGTACTTGAAATGATGGCTAGCTAATTTTTGATCGATGTACTCGGAGCTGTTTGTTTCTGTCCGGAATAGACGAAATAGATTAGCATGTGATATATAGTTTTTGTTTCTGGTTGTGGTCTGTGATCTGCTGATATCTCTTGCTGCTCTGTTACTTTTAGATTTGTTTAAAGTGGAAGAACTACTCCAGATAGGCGAGAGACGTGCCTCGACTCTCTCAAACACGTCTGTCTGTTACCAGCTCTTCTACTCCAACTATTCCAAGCGGTGCTGTCCATGGGCCTCGGGCCGGAACGCTCTCTCGCAAGCCCAATATCCGTATAGCTGGCAATGAGTGGGTCTAGGCTGCCTGCGTGCACGAGACGGGCGCTATGCCGAGTCAGAGAGAGAGAGAGAGAGGGGGATGAAGTATCACGAAATTTGTAAGCCAACAGCCTGTTCGGGAGGCCGTATCGTATCGTGGATTATTTATTGTTGGCTGGTTTGGTGTGAGAGAAAAACACTGTTCCCGGCTGAAAATTTACGATCGTTTACGAGCAAGTGAACAGGCTCCATGACTCTCATAACTAAATCCTGTCCTCGCCTATGCTATGCTGTTCGTATGATTCCCCTTCCCAATTTCTTCTACTCCTTGCCTACTGCTAACACTGTCGAGGTAAGCTAAGCTGGAGCTGAAAGCAAAGCTTGGGCCTGAACCGGCGACCGCGACAGGAGTTTGGCACGGGCCCTGCAGAGGAAACAGCTCGCTGTCGGCTGGCTTTCTCCGCACCGGTGGCTAGCGCGCTATCCGGCTCACAAGTCACAACGTACTAGCTGTTTTGACCCTGAACTTGCGAAGGAGTGAGTGGCCATTGTTCGTGTCGGCCCTACCTCCGGTTAGTTCAGAACCTTCAATCCTGCATCTGTCGGCTTCAGGCTCATCAGTGAGCAACTGCACGAGCCAATAATTCATCCTTCCTCGGCTCCATCCCAGCCAATAACGCCAACGTCTAATAGGCCTGTTTGCTACAGGAGAAGACACAGGACCACCCAGTTTTCGTCGGAAACGAAAAGGAATGGCAAACCAGTACAGAAAAGCGTAGTAGATACGTTTGGATGAGCCCATGCAGTCCATCATGCCTAGATAAGTTTCGTAGTATAGAAAAATACTACATTTTTGTCAGTAATTTGGGTTACAATGTCTACTTGGTGTCAAATCTGGTAGTTTTAAAAACTACAGTAGTATTTTTTATGTTAATCTAAAGGGATTTGCTAAAATTTAGATGCCTGAATTTGAGTTTCCTTTCAGATGACGGTTATTGCATATATTTTATACTGAAATTGCAGATTTCATTTGTTGCGATTTCTGTAAACGCAATCTGCAATTTTCAGAACCGAGAATAAAAAAACCCTTACACAAAACCACGAACCTGACAAAATCTGATTTGTGCTAGCACAAAGACAATTAATAATTTACAGTTATTTTCTATTAGAAGACAAAGACAAAATTTGATATGTCATGACACAAAGACAAATAACAAATAACAAAAGTAACAATTTACTTGTACTAGTTAGAGTTATTGCCTGAAATCATCTCAAAATTCAGGCACCTGAAATATAGGAGAAGTGTAATTTAAAAACTAGTGTAATATTGCAACTGCTGTAGTGTTTGGAGGATTGGGAACTCCACCCTGGAATCCCTTTTTCTTTCTGAAGCCTTGGCTTCTCAATTCATTAGTTTTTACGTACAAACTATGACATCCAAAAATAAAGCACTGTGGTGGGTGCTACGCTGACAAGCCATGTGCTTACAGCGAGGAAGAGATGTTGAGCTTTGCATTGCTTCAGGTGTTTGCTGCGTTCTAATAGGATAGTAATACTTATTACCCTATTTCAGTAAGATGTTTTTTTACATCAGTGGTTAATGATTTGGCTTATACCGTTGCCTCTTGAACACTCATGGCCAACCATCTTGCAACCAAACATGCGGCGGGCAGCAGGTGATGCTGGTTTCATTCAGGACAAGATTGCAGAGTTGGCAGACAGCAATTGGAGGGTGATCACCAATCCACTTGTTGAGCTGCTGATCTGATTGACAGCATGCTTGACACACTTGGGACCCCTACACTACTACTCTTACATGTGCTGCAGTGATGAGGAGCTCATCGCACGCTAGTACTACGCATCACTGTTTGCTGAAGCATCCATAGCCAAGAACTCTTGCGTACCAGCGTGGGCAACACTGATGACCGGGGAGGAAAAAGTGCACGGCAGTTTTTCCCAAGGCTCACAGCCTCTTACAAGCAGTTTTCAGAGACTTCGCGTCCAGGTCTGCAAAATTCTACGATCTACAACAGATAGCGGCGAAACTTGGCATTATCTCTTAGGCCTTGTTTAGATTACTTCAAAATTCCAAGTTTTTTCACATTCTTTCCATCACATCAATTTTTTGACGCATGCATGGAGCATTAAATGTAGATAAAAAAATAACTAATTATACAGTTTGGTTGTAAATCACGAGACGAATCTTTTGAGCCTAGTTAGTCTATGATCGGACAAAGTTTGTCAAATACAAACGAAACGTGCTACAGTGTCCAGATTGCAAAAATTTGCAATCTAAACAAGGCCTTATTATCAAAGCAGGGAGCTTTGGCCATCAACCAGACCATCCACGTCGCCCTGTTTTTTTTCGTCCGTCCGATCGCCCATCGTGCGGTCCAGATGGATTGTAGCCGCCTCTCGGCCTATCCGCGCCGCTCCATCGTTTACAGCCGTTGGATCTTTCATCGTGTGGCCATGGTTGTCTGGAGCGGATTCGGCCGGCGGCGGCTTCTGCCGCTCTGGCTTCGCTTCCACAGCTTTCCCTTAACTTCTCTCGATGTTGTGCGGCTTCTGCTCCGGAGCAGGCCCATCAGATATATACGCCGGCTTCTGATTCTGCCTTCCCGAGCCTTCCACCGCTCCCTCTCGCGTCCGCATCCGCATCCGCGCCTCTTCCCTCTCCCTCAGCTCTCACGGCGGCGGCTAGGGCAGGCCCCCGCCGCGGCGGCCAGGCGAGGCCGCGGCACGGCGGCCCCCTAGCACGGACGCGCGCCGGCCAGGCAAGGCCACCCACCAGCGCGACGCCGCGGGTGCGGCCCCCAGGCACGGCGGTGCGGCAGAGCGGCCCGACTGCTCCCCTGGGCACAGCTGTGCGGTGGCACCGGTGGGCCCCAAGGGCGCACCCAGCACGCAGCGGCTCCGGCGTGAGCAAACGCAGGTGAAGGTGGCCTCTCTCCTTGCTCCTCCTCTCTTTCCCTCGCCGGTGCCCAGCGTCGATCTGTGCGATATGTGCTTGTTGCCTTCGTTGCTGGGTCGGTCCGGGGCCTCCATGGCCGGATCCGGTCGTTCCCCTAAGTCTGTGTAGAGCACCAAGCGTGAAGCTTTGGGGGCCTCCATGACCGGATCAGTCCTCTCGCGCCTGTCGCCGTCCCTTTCGGGTTTTGGTTACCGTTGTTCCTCGCCCCTTCTTTCTGCGTCGTGCTTGTCGGCTTCCCCAGCCGCTGCTCGGTCCTCCTTGCCATGGCTGCGGTTTGCCTTGTGCCTTCGGTTCTTCCTGCATTCCGCCTTATTGACTGCCGTGTTCGTCCCTCTGCTCGTGGATTGGCGTTTGTTAGGGTTTGGCGCTACAGTGAGCTCCGCCGCCGGGCCGCGCCGTCTTTCCCCGGCGGTGGCTGTCCCCATCGACGAGCGTCTCCTTGTGCCATCGCCCCGAGCGTCTCCCTGCGGCGTCTCCCCGCCTCCGTCGCCAGCAGGCCCTTCCTCCGTCTTCCTATTACAGGTTCTTCTCTCCCTCACCTGTTACAGATCTAGGTCCCACCCAAGGCAGAGCAGGCTGCCTTCTTTTTCTGAGGAGGCCTACGGCAGCAAATCTAACATCGCGCGTTCCATGGAATTCGTTGATGTGGGCGGCGGGTTGTAGCCTTAATGCTCTGTCTGTTCTTCTTGGAGACTGTCAGTTCCCTGCACATTGTTCCTATATTTTTTATGTCAATCGAAGTTTAGAATCCTTGTCAATGTTTCTTGCTCCATGATTTTGCTTTACGAGTCGCCGGACTCACCGAGAGCGGGTGACTGCACCAAGGGATCGATCCTGTGGTGCATTGATTAGTTTTAGGTTTGCAGTATCTGCTTCCATATATATTCTGCCTGTTGATTTCAGTTCCATTGATCTTCTCCCTATCTATTGGGGCAGTGTGTGTCAGGATTGCCATCAGATGCTTCCTGTGCTCCTCAAGGTACCACCCCTCACATTCCTTACGATTTCCTCTCCATCTCTCCTAATTAGGATCATGTAAATTATCAAGATTGAGTACTAAAATGTCCTTCGGTTTACCAATATCACATCAAGTGTTCTGCTTAAGCAAGACAAACAAATGCTCTTTGTTTTCTCTTTGTGATAAATTCAGAATTCAGAGTTCATTAAGGTTAATCTGGAAACTCTAGCTTCCTTGCCTGCCAGATCATTATTGTCTTATATTTGTTCTTTGGTACCTACCTTTCAGCAGACATCTTAGATTTGTTCTTTGGTTTATCCTACTGTCAGCTCCCTGCTTTGATAATAAGAGATTGGAAAAACTATTTTGGGCCAATCTAATTTCAAACCATTTGACACTTATAGATTATCCTGCAGGATCTACTAATTTGGTTCAAACAGTTTGGTTTCGCTTTATTAATTCCATGGGCGCGGCCACCTCCATCGAACCTCTGCCACGCCGTCCAAGGTAAACAGTACGCTTATGCGTTCGTCTCTCCCTACCACTCGCTCCATATATGTATGTGGACATAGGGATCGTAGGATCATCTTTCTCCATTGAAAATCACCCCCCTCTTTCCAGATTTATCAGGTCTTGTTCTATTTTGTTTTATTTAGTTGACTGCCTCCACTAAATTAATCTATTGCTCATTTGTTTATCACTTATTCATGTGTCGCTTACACCGATGGATCACTGAGAAGTAGGATATCGGCTATTGCAATCCTTTCCTGCTGCCTCTCATTCTCATGCCACTATATGATGAATTACATAGAGTCCGCATCTTTCAACAGGCTTGCTACAGCAGTATCGTTTGTGGTTTTAAATGGTTTCAGAAAACATGCTGTTGTACATTGTACAGGTAACTGAATAACTGCCCTACAAGTCGTCAATGGGTTTCCCTTTTTTTTTTGCCGCGGCACCACCGTGCTGATTTTCTTATGAAATGGACATGGAGATGCCTTTCATGTCAAATGGTTCATCCACATGCTACAAGGGGCTAGTGGGTTTCTCTTTATTTTTTTGGCCGTGCCATGCTAATGTTGAAGGTGCTCACTGCTCATATTCCAACTATATTTGTATTTTGATACCTTTCCTGCTACGGTGGTTTGATTATCTTATTTCTCTGTTACTTCCAATGTTCTAGGCAAAACATCACTTCAGAGATACACTCCATGCAAATCTGAGCTCCCTGAACCTGTTGTTTTGCGGAGCAGGTACATGTCAGTTTCATCGAATGTTTTCCATAATACATATGTATCATTGTGCTTTCTATGGCATCATTCTATCTATAAAATGCTACTTAAATACACAACACGACAAACACTGTCCATGTGTGTATAAGTCGCGGAAATCTGATATGACTTTCTTATTAGATGTGTCCAGCACCATATCAAAAAAGCTTCAATCTTTCAGTTCCTGCGCATGACATATCTACATTAGACTCCTAATATTGTTTCCATGCAAAGATTAAACATGTTTTATACTTGCGCCTTAACCAGGTTATTTGCCGGCGCGCGCGATGGCGCGTGTGATGGACTAGTTGGATACAATGCGAGGAATGTGGGCCTGAATCTGACAGGATGGTGGACTACTCAGCGCGCAAGCGGTGCACTTTTTCTTGACCTCAACATCTATCCTATCCCCCTCCCGGTGTTGAGATCGAAATTCAAAGCCAATCCCTATTGGTTCACAACATCTATCTATCTGTCTTGCACACCTCTTCCTTTGTTTGAATCTTGCACACCTCTTCTTTTGTTTGAGTTTTCAATATGAAAAAGGACTCTTGTTTAAATGTATGTATTTTGCTCCGATGGTGTCCTCCGGCATGCTTGCATTATTGCTGTTGTTTATTCTCATCCAGGTTCCGTACACGCATGACATGTATATGGAGCCATTGACCACAACATGTCTGTACTCCGTTTGCTCTGTATACAATACAAGAAACGCAAGTTGCTCTGTATAATAAGAAACTGAAGAGGAATGTAGGAATGGAGAAGCACGAGGTTGGTTGCCGTATAAGAAACTGACGAAGATGGAGGATGAAGGAACCACGAACAGCTCATATGGGTTTCATACAGAGTTACAGACAGCAAACCAATGCTGTCCAAGTCAAACACACAGAGAGAAGGCAAAGCAGCACGTTCTTCAGATTACGACGCACATCGGCGTTCTTGGGAAGAAAAAGGGGCACATTTGACGTCGAAGCTGCGATAAGTTCAGAACTCGTTTCTGAAGAAACGGAACAGAATGGATCGGCAGTCACGTTCAGAGTCTGAATTTTTCCAGCGAGGTGAGCAGGAACCTCCCCTTTTTGGGACCATACTAACTGCCACGGTGTCACCTATATCCCAAAAAAGTTCCCAACAATCTTTCTCTTGCTCTGTCCAATAATACAATGTGGCTTATCTTTGTCGTAAACAGTGGTTGGATTCAGCAATAATGCACGTACTCTTTGTATATTGTATTATTGTAGCGGTTCCTTTATGATCCAGAATACCACATGGCAGCTGACTCGGATCCATTCCGTGCCCACAACTAATCGTTGAAGTGCGGTGTGCAGCCGGCGCAAGAAATGCTGCAAGTTGCTCTAAAGAAACTTGGGAACTGAAGACATGCATGACTGAGTAGCAACCAGCCAAGTGCAGGCTGCGACCTGCCTGCATGCAGCATGCTCTCTCCAGGCCAAGGCAGCCCAAGTTTGTGCAGAATCCTGTCGCTCGAGGGGAGCGCTGAACTTCAATTTTCCACCTTTTGACATCAGTTTGAATTTTTAGGTTGAACATGAAACTCAAAGTTT